AAAAGTATTTCCTTAAAAACGCTCCTGCACTGTTGGTGGGACTGTAAATTTGTACAACCACTACAGAAAACAGTATGGAGGTTTCTCAAACAACTACAGATAGATCTTCCATAAGATCCAGCAATTCCACTTCTGGGTATATACCCAGAGGAATGGAAATCATCAAGTCGAAGGGATACCTGCACTCCCATGTTCATCGCAGCTCTGTTTACGATAGCCAAGACATGGAACCAATTGATGGATGATTGGATGAGGAAACTGTGGTGTATATACACCATGGAATACTACTCTGCCATAAAAAAGAATGAAATTCTCCCATTTGCAGCAACATGGATGAGTTTGGAGAAACTTATGTTGAGTGAAATAAGCAAAGCACAGAGGAATAAATACCGCATGTATTCACTCATAAGTGGGAGCTTAGTGAGAAAGAAGGAAGGAAAGAAAGACCACAGTGGTGCGTCGGACTTGCAGAGGGAGAGAACATACCTTGGGCTACAAAGCGGAAGGGGGGGAAGGGGGAGGGAGATGGAAGTTGGGGATAATTGGGTGGGGGACACTAAGTACAAATGCAATTTCTGGTAATGGGCATGCTGCCAGTATGAATCTGGCCTTCACATCTTGGGCACGAGGGGTGACAATCAGCTTTATATCTCATGAATATTCATAACCAATTAAAAAGAAAGAAATAAAGAAAGAAGGCTAAGAAAAAAAAAAGTTTTTCCTTAAAGTGTTTAGAAAGGAATAATAAGAAAATAGGGAAACAGATAATACAAGCACAAGGCAGAAATTAATTTAATAATTGGATATCATTGGTCTCCAATTCAATTAATAAATACTAAAAACAATAATAACTAATTCTGGCAAGAGAGCTGTAAGAAGGGAACCCTTACGTACTGTAGAGAGAGTATATATGGATATAAAATTCCTGGAAATTTGATAGTCCACATGAGGCTAAAAGTTGATCTTTACTTTATAGTAAGCATTACTTACTTTTGGCCAGCAAAAAAGGATAAGTTTAATGACAAAATCACTTAAAATAGTAAAAAACAAAACAAAACTAAACTAAAAGAGGACAATGTTTAAATAAATTAATGCAATTAAATATATACTTATTAAAAAATTAGTGGCCTATGAATATACTTTCTATACAATGTCAAGTGAGAAAAACAGCAGGGTAAAGAATAATATGTACTAGATAATCTAAGTTCTCTCTACATACAGTAAGGATGTTAAAATGGAATTCAGTTCAGTCATCAAGAGATCCAAAAGGAATTTCTTATACTAGAGTACTGGACTATGGAGTTCCTTGACAGGATTTACAAAAGGAGTTACATCTATATCTCCCTTCGAGGGTATAAAATACTCAAGGGAAGGGTTTTTGAGAAGGATTTTTTTGAGGAGAATGCCTTGGGTAGGATCCCTGAAATTAATAACATGGTGATTTTAGGAAATCATTGAGATGTGGTATACCATGCAGTCTTGAGGACACAGTGTTTGAGAGTCTGAGTCATGCATGAGAAGTGTAAAGAAGCAGACCATGGCACAAAGTAAAGGGATCCAGTTTAGGAAATACCTGCATTTCTAGAAGTTGTTGAGACAAAGGATGCTAAGTTGTTTTCTGTGAATCAGGTATGGACCACCATGAGAGGAAGCTGATGGAGAGCTGCCTTAGATCTTGTCCAGCAGGGCCACCTGGAGGGATGAGGGAACCTCAGGAGAAGAAAGCTGGAGATAGACCTAGAATAGTGGTCGTCAAGCAGGAGAACCCCTTACTCTGTGGGCATTTAGCAATGACTAGAGACATTTTGGTTAATTGAGGAGTGGGGGATAGGTGGTTATTGTCATCTATTGGTTAGAGACCAGGGATGCTCTAAACATTCAACAATGCACAGGACAACCCTGAACAAGAAAGAATTGTCTAGTCCAATATGTCAATTGTGCAGATGTTGAGAACCACTCTCACTTATATTACCTGGAAATGGGTGATAGACAAATTGATATTTTACAATTTTTAATTATGATTTCTATACCTGCTGTAGTATCACTAGATGTGGGGATACTGGGCATCTAGCCACATTTTCTAGGCTTTGGAAGCCTCTACCAAAACACTGAGAAACCCTAAAACATTTACCTAATGTGAAGCTACATGTATGTAACAGTTATTCTAGGTATTGCCCTATATTTGAGATCTGTGAGACCTGGACTTGCTAAGGCCAGGAGTGGTTCTGTTTATGATGATTAATTCTGGATTCAAAATTAGTAATGCTTGGGAAGCATCAAGACAGATAGTAAAAACTGAAATCACTTCAAGCATCTTCTCAGACCACAATGGATTAAAACTAGAAATCAATAACAAGTGAAAATTTGGAAACCATGCAGATACATGAAAATTAAACAACATTTAATGTTTAATGACCCATGGTCAAAGAAGAAATCAAACAGGAAGTGAAAAAGTTCTTGAAACTAATAATAATGACACAGCATACCAAAACTTATGGGAGACTGCAAAAGCAGTACGAAGAGGAAAATTTATTGCAATAAATGCTTACATCAAAAGAATAGAAAGACTTCAAATAATTTATCCATTTCCTCCAGGTTTTCAAGTTCATTGTCATATAGTTGTTCATCATAGTCTCTAATGATTCTTTGTATTTCTGTGGTAGCAGTTATGATGTCTCCTTTGTCACTTCTGGTTTTTGTTTTTTGGGTCTTCTTTCTTCTTTTATTAGTTAGCCTAACTAATGTCTATTTTGTTTATCTTCCCCCCCCCAAAAAAAAAATGACTTTTTCTTTCATTTCTTTCATTGATTTTTTGGTATAGTATTTTTGGTCTCAATTTCATTTAGTTCTGTTCCGTTTTTAATTCTTTTCATCTCCTAACTTTGGGATTGGATTGTTCTTCAGTATACAAAAATCAGTAGCATTTTTATACTCCAACAATGAATATCAGAAAAAGAAATCAAGAAAGTAATCCCATTTAGAATTATCACCAAAATAATAAAATATCTAAGAATAAACATAACCAGGGAGGTGAAAGATCTCTACAATGAGAACTACAAATCATTGCTGAAAGAAAGTAAAGAGGATACCAAAAGATGGACATTCCTTGTTCATGGATTGGAAGAATCAACATAGTGAAAATGTCCATACTACCCAAAGTGGTCTACAGATTCAATGAGCTCTCCATCAAAATACCAATGACTTTCTTCACAGAAATAGAAAAAATAATCCAAACATTATATAGAACAACAAAAGACCCCAAATAGCCAAAGTGATCCTGAGCAAAATAAATCAATAAAGCCAGAGGCATTATACTTCCTGACTTAAAATTATATTACAAAGCTATAGTAACCAAAATAGCATGGTACTGGCATAAAACATACATTAAGACCAATGGAACAGAATAGAGAGCCCAGAAATTAACTCACATATTTACTGCCAAATGCTCTTTGACAAGGGCACCAAGAACATACAATGGGGAAAGGAGACCCTCTTCAATAAATGGTGCTGGGAAAACTGGACATCCATACATAGAAGAATGAAGCTAGACCTGCACTTCTCACCATATACCAAAATCAACTCGAAATGGATTAAAGACTTAAATATAAGACCAGAAACTTTAAAACACCTTGAAGAAAACAGATGAAATATTCCAGGATGTAGGGCTGGGTTAAGACTTTATGAATAAGACTCCAATAGCACAAACAACAAAAGAAAAAATAAACAAATGAGATTATATCAAACTAAAAAGCTTCTGCACAGCAAAGGAAACAACAGAGTGAAAAGACAACCTACAGAATGGGAGAAAATACTTGCAAACTATAAATCTGACAAGGAATTAATATCCAGAATATACAAGGCACTCAAACAACTTTACAGTAAAAAAATCAAATAATCCAAATTAGCAAAAGAGCTGAATAGACATCTCTCAGAAGAAGACATGCAAATGGCCAAAGGTAAATGAAAAGATAATCAACACCATTAATCATCAGGAAATACAAAACAAAACCACACTGAGATATCACCTCACCAAGTTAGACTGGTTATTATCAAAAAGATAGAATAACAAATGTTGGCAAGGATGCAGAGAAAGAGAAATGCTTCTGCACTGTTGGTGGGACTGCAAATTAGTACAGCCATTATGGAGAACAGTATAGGAGGTTTCTCAAACAACTATGGATAGAACTACCATAAAATCCAGCAATCCCACTATTGGGTATATATCCAAAGGAATGGAAATCAACGTGTCAAAGGGAAACCTGCCATCTCATGTTTGTTGCATTTCTATTTGCAATAACAAGGCTATGGAACCAACAACCTAAATGTCCATTAGTGGATGACTGGATAAGGAAAATGTGGTATATATACATAAAAAAGAATAAAATTCTACCATTCATAGCAACGTAGATGAACATGGAGCAAATTACATTGAGTGAAACAACCCAGTCACAGAAAAAGAAACACTACATGTCCTCACTCATAAATGCAAGCTGAATTAATAAATAAACAATAAGGGCCGGCCCAGTGGCGCACTCGGTAGAGTGCGGCGCTTGGGAGTGTGGT